CATAGCAGGAAAGCTAACAGGGAGAGTTACCTAGCCACACCTTCACTAAAGAGCACGCTGAAGTCCTATAAGAGCAAGGAGCCTTCCCACTGCAGTAGAAGCCAGCGACAGATGGAGGAACCGAGCACCCGGGCGGGGAGAACCTGGAACAATAGTTGAAATAACTTCACGTCGCATACACGTGTTTATAAGCTGTCCAGGAAAACATTACAAAACACAGAAGCTCAGCCAACGCTCGCCACGCAAAGAACAGGAACCTGTGGGTGTCGGGTGATGAATAAGAATTCCAGGAGAATTTAGACAGTAGAAAGAATTAGTATGCCTGCAGCTTTGGGGAGCAGGGCTGGAGGACGCGGGGAGGGTCAGAAAGGACACCTGAATTTTCTGGCGGCTGTTCCTGTTCCCCAGCCTCCCTGTCCCCAGCAGAATCTCTCCACCAACTGAGCTTCTCAGGCGCACTCGTGAGGGCCAGACACTGGAGGTCCTGGACACAGTCACTGGTGGGGGACAAGATCAGCCTCAGCATTCTGGCCATATTATGGGGTTGTCTCCTTACAGGTAGGGGTCTTCCCAAAGGAAAACAGTCATGCAGGCTTCCAAGGTCCAGTCCCGCCCCTGGAGTTTTCTCAACTTGGGGCAGTCACGGTGATCTCTGCTTTGATCTGCTTTGATACACGAGGGGACTCGTGGATGATCCATGGCCATTGAAGCTTTTGAGAATTTTCCATTGCTTTGGACGTCTAAATAGGCTCTCCCATCTTCGGCACTGTTGGCATTTGGAGGCTGGTAGCACTTGGCCATTGGTCTGTCTTGTGTGTGGATAAACGGCACCTCTGGCCTGCACTCACCGGATGCCAGTAGGTCCCCACTCCTCCATAAATTGTGACAAGAATGGTCTCTAGGCATTGCCAAATGTCCCTCAGGGAAACAGTGTGTCTAAAATGTAGAACCATGGGAATTCTGTGGTTGGGCACTCTGGGGAGAAGACTCCGTTCTTCTGTTGAGCAGCCCCACCTGGCAATGTCCCCAGACCCACTAGAGGTTGGGCTTCCATGCTCTCTCTGTAAGCCTCCACCCAGAACCATCGGTGGAACAGAACACACTGTGAACTACAAAGCAGTGATTCTCAGGTTCAGCTCTTGGACATTTCAACACAGTGATGTCAACTGGAAAGTTTTCACCCCAAACTGGATAACTGGGTTACAAAAGACAAAAACCTCATAATATTTTAAGTGTGTGATTTTGTGTTGGGTGGGATCAATAGTTAGGCTCAGCCACACGTGGCCGCATATAGCATGCGAGTCTAGAGAATGAAGAAAGAATCCAGGAGGCAGACACAGCAACTTGGGCTACTCCAGCAGACAGAGGGCTTCATGTAGAAACAGGGCTCTGTAGTGCCCTGTGGCCAAAGCACACACGCTCCCTGCACACTGAGCACACATAGGGTCTTACCCACAGAAAAGAAGGTCTGAACCCTTTGGAGGCAGAATTGGTTGGAAGAAGAACCAGAGGCTAAGGTTATGCCTTCTCAATGCTGTGACCTAGGCAGGCACAAGGACACCACTGTGCCAGGTTGTCCTGGGCAAGGTGCACCTATACCGTCTACCCAAGGTCTGTGCCCTCTGGTTCTCCTCTCTGCTGCCCTCCTCTACCTTGTCTATGTGAATATATGTGCACACATGTTGTTCATGCAGTTGCCTGTCAAGGCCAGAGGTTAACATCAGGTTCCTCCTCAATCACTAACTTACCCCAGCTTTAACAAGCAAAAACAAAACTCAAAAAACAGGGTCAATGAGCCTGAACATTTTGGTTAGAATAGCTGGCCAGTGAACCCCATGAATCTGCCTAGTTCCACGCTCCAGTGCTGGGATTACAGGCACACACCACTATGCCCAGACCTTTTATTTTAATGTGGATTCTAGGAAATCTGAACTCGGGTCCTCACACTTTACCAACTGAGCAACCTCCCAGCCCTCTGGTTTTACTCCCTATCAAAACCCACAGGTGACACATACAGTGAGCCAGAACAAAGACTTACAGCATATGTAGCTCCATCTATCCTGACAGGTGACAGGGTTTGGTCACCTGATAATACTGTGCATCGCCCTTAGTCCTGTGGTTGGTGAGGTTCACTCTCCCTGCCATGACACTTCTTGCTCATACTCTGATATCAGGAGGTGCAGGGAATACCCGGGGCTCATAATTTCACTGCCCTGGGCTTCTTAGAGGGGACCCACCTCTGTCTGCACCTCTGGGCTCTCAGTGCCAGCTGGGAACTCTCTCCTCCATACCCTGCACTGAGTGGTCGTTGGAGATGGAGGTTAGGGAGACACATGTGCCATTCGGTCTCTGGCTGCTCCTCCCAGACTCCTCCCAGGCTCCTCTGGCCCTGACTTGGGAAGTATATGAACAGTCAGTGGGACAGGCAGCAGGAGAGATGAGCCACTTCGCTACGCACTGATCCCAAAGGGAGGCTACGCTCCTGCAAGAGAGGACCAGACTGCCAAGAGCACACATGCAGCCGAATGGCTCTGGCTCCCAGACAGATCCCGAGAATGCTAAGGTGGGCTGGCAGACATCCAAACCAGGACAAGATGCTGGCCTGTTGCCTCTCTGTGTGGCACTGATCTGCTCCCTTTCCTGCTCCCCAGGACTCTAGAAACTCAAGCAAGGAAGGAGAGTGCTTGCTTTGGGTAGGGTAGAGTAAAGGATTCATTAGTCTCTCTAATTGGGTTTAATGAACCACGGAACATCCCAGCAAATGCAGTACTTCTTCTCCAAGGGTCAGCTACAAGAAAGGCCGGGTCCTTCCTGTCAAATTAAGGAGGCTCTGGGGCCCACCTTCTCCAGGGAGAAGTCAATGGGATCCCAAGGAAGGTCCACATTCCCTGCTCTGGAGAGCTTCGAGGCTCACAGAAAGACTGTACCCCAGCTTAAGTCAACCTGCCACACAGGCGAGCCCCACACTCTGACCTCAGGGCTGTCCACTGGAGCACTCCTAACGTGCAGCTTTTTAGGACATGCATACCTTATTGGGGACCCTTTCTACACACACCCCAGAAACCCTACCTCAGGGACCCTCCTTGGAGACGAGCGTGGAGACACAAGGTCAGTCTTACCTGGGTGGGGGAAGGACCACACCTCAAGTCTAGGAGAAGTTGAGGTGGCCCCATTCTGATGATCTGACACCATGGATGGCCCAGACTGTGACACTTTGGGAAACACCTTCTGAGGATTCAAGACCAGTTCAAATGTCCCTCCATGGTGCTGTCAGCCTCAAAAGGCAGGGCTGCCTCAGAGAGGGCTAGCTGCAGATCCTAGCCTCCCAGGTTCCAATCCCAGGTCCTCACTTCTCTACTGTGTTAACTCCATTGCGCTGAGTTCCTGGCTTCCCTCCCATGCACTCAGGCGCTGTGCTGTGAGGGGACACAGGGATGAAGGCTATGCATGGAAATCTAGCACCGTGCCTGCTCGCAGCGCTCAAGCACTGAGCTCAGGCCTGTTTGCTCCTTTCCTGATGACCAAGCCAGGAGGTTCACTTCAGCTGCTCTGGCTGAACCTGTCATTTACTCCTCGCTCTTCTGTGTAGTGAGGAAGTTCAGAGAGGAAACTGCAGGAGACAGAAGGATGGAAAGGGACCAGCTGATGTCATATGGGCAAAAGGGGTTTCTAATGCTTGTGACCATCTGTGGCTCTGACCCAGGAGAGTGGGAGAGACACTGGCATGGGTTTAACTGTGTGTGTGTGTGTGTGAGAGAGAGAGAGAGAGAGAGAGAGAGAGAGAGAGAGAGAGAGAGAGAGAGAGAGAGAGAGAGAGAGAGACAGAGAGAGAGAGAGACAGAGACAGAGAGAGACAGAGAGAGAGAGAGCGCCAATACTTTACAAGGCTAGAAGCTGTCTTTATCTTTTCTGTTCCTTCCTCTCTCATCACAGCAGACACAGATCCCGTTGTTTCTCAACCTGCTGTTTCTATGGAGACAAGGCAGGGGATGGACCACCGGCTGCTACTCCCCTGCGGTAAATCAGACAGCACTGGGACAGAGGTGCCTCGTGAAGACACCACAGTACACTCCTGCCCCCATCCCTGACCTGGGTTCTCTCATGAGGCAGTCAGCCTCCCCTTGCTCTAGGAAAAGACTCGGGGGTATGATGAGGAGGGTCCTGCTGGAGACGTGGAAGCCAGAACAAACATCCAGCAACTTCCAGCTAACTGCCAGCCCAGCATCCTGCCCTGTGGGTGATCCTGGGCATCTTAGCAGATACTCTACACTCCCACTTCTTGGCTATGGAGGGCAGACCAGTTTCTCAGTCCTAACAGCTTCCCCTGGGGCCAAAGCATTTGCAAGTATGCTGGGTACAGCGATAGATGTGGGGAGTCAGACCTGTGAGGGAGGCCGCAATGTCTACACCATCTTACAGCACAGACATGGATGACCTGGGAAGTCCCCACGTTGGACACCTCCCAGGGATCCCGTCTCTGCCTCTGCTGCTTAGGTGGGGATGCACTCACTAGAGAGCTTGGCTAGGGTAGAGACCAGACTCAGCCAGATTAGGAAATGCCTTGCTGCTCTGACTCCATCATTATCTAACTACACTATCATTGTATCCCTCTCCATGAAATCTGTCCAACGATGAAGGATATGACTAACTCATTTTTATGAATCCTCAAAGAAGAGATGGTGACTTTGCTTGGGCAGTGAAGGGTTAGTTGCCTGGGTATCTAAATTTTGAAGGCATCCTCTGCTTGTTTTGAAAAGATCAGAAACTTCATCCCAGTCCCTCGGTTTTCTGATGCACTTGGGTCCTGCAAGGGCCCAAGTGTCTGGTCACAAAGCGCTGTTTATGAGTCAGTTTCACAGCACTCTGTTACCCTACAACATCACCATCAATATTCCAAGCGGTGGAACATAAAATGAAAAGGTGGGAATCCTAACTTGTGAAAGTTCTTCTTATCCCAGCCCCCACACACTGGGTTCAGTAAGTCTGCAGGAAACACGACACACACGTGACAATTTACTGCTAGGGAAGCATCACCAAACCAGCTCTACATTTTTTTTTTAAAACCTAATAGGATGCTCAACCTTGGTCTTTTGCTCTGGGACTGACTGAAAATGCAAAAACTGTCCAGCCCGCTGTTGGGAGGACTTAACCCATCAAGCTGTTAGGGGCTGGAAGCACAAACTTCAAGGCTTTCAGCCACAACCCAGGATATTCTAAATCGGAACTGACTGGAGATAGTTACAGATGCGGGGTGGCTGCCCCTCCAGAGGCTGTTCCAGCCTAGGTCTAGAACACAGGTGCATCTCCAGTGGCTGGGAGCAAGATGGAGCCACGTGGACAGCCTTGCTGGGTGAGTCCAGTGCTTGAAGGGCTTCCCCACAGCTTTGGCATCCCGGTGCCTTCAGAAGGTAAAGGCATACACCACCCCTACCACCACTATGTTCCCCAGTGTTGCTATGATGGCAATCCATAGCAGAACAGCGTCGTTGGAGGAGCGAGGAGACTCCTCTGGCTGGCCGTGGCCATTGGAGGTCGCGTGGATGTTGGCAGGGGAGCTAAACAGGGAGTATTCGGTGCTGAAGTCCTCGTTGGGTGAGTCCATGAACGCTCCTCCCATCATGGGCAACTGTAAGAAGAAGGAGCAGAATGAACCAGGCCTGTCCAGCAGAGACCACACATTCCCAGAGGCCCGCAAGGAAGTGCGATTCACACGGCACAAACACACATAAAATTGAGTGTTTCAGCGGGCTATATACATGCCTGTAATCCTGACACGTGGGAGCCGAAGCAGGAAGATCACAGTTGAAGGCCAGATTGGGCTACATAGTGAATTCTAAGCCAGTCCAAACCCAAACCAAACCAACCACAACCCCTAAGCATATGAGTCAAGCTTTATGGCAGACACCCCTGAGCTGGCTTACACACAACACTTGATGGGTCTCACTCCACAAGCCCCCACTGCCCCACCCTTGTGCCAGGCCCTTCCAAACCCTCACAGTCTGCAAAACACCTTTGTTTCTATTCTAACTTTAATCAAGAATACATCTTAGGCTAGGGGTGGTGGCTCATGCCTCTGGGCCAGCCTTTAGGCAGCCAAAGGAAAGGATCCAGGAGCAAAACAGCTGTCTCAAAATACCAAGAATAAAAAAGATAAATCAAAAGCAGTAATAATAGAATGGCAGGGAAAACCGCAAGCCACCCCCTATTTGTCTAGCTAACATTTTGTTAAGTTTTTATTTTCTTTTTTTATGTGAGAGAGAAGAAAGGGAAGTGGATTAACATGCCAGTTTCTAGTTCTGAATTTAAAAGTTCATCAAACCCCCATTCTAAAAGATTCCCCCCCCCACATACATCACAGCTTCAGGGCTGGGGATACCCAATGTGCTGCATGTACCCTGGGGGCTTCCAGAATGTTCTGGTGGATGCTGGAGTCTGGCCGCCTTCCCTCCCAAGTCTTCCCATTCTTCAGCACAGACAAGGAAAGCTTCCCCTTCACATCCATGTGCTGCAACTTATGTACCGGTCTCCAGAACTGGAACTAACCTCCCCTGCAGCTCGACACAGAGCTAGAAGAATGACCATGAGGTCCGATGCCTTTGAAAAGCTTTTGAGCACCATTATGGGTCATAAGCTGCAAATGGCCTCACAGCCTTTAACGGCCCCTCACTCTGATGGCAGCATGACCAAACCACCTTCTGCAAGTACCAAACAGACACCACTACCAGTCTGTCACTGTCTTCCTCCACTGGGTGGGCAGGAGAGGCTGGCAATCTTGGTATGGTTTCATTGGGGCCGAGGGAACATGTTGCCCAAATAAAGTTGTACCCTAAAGCTTTCAGAGTCAGATTATGTGGTCTGAAAATCCTACCAGATTTTGTTTATATGCTCTCGGAAATCACAAAGGAGTGAGCGACAGAGACATCATCTTTCTCGAGTATAGCAAGCATTGTAATGACTTGCGGGCAAATCCCCACAGCCATGACAACTGAGAACCAGCTAAGCATAGCCCTGCTGACCCAGGCTCTCAAGAAACAGTTCATTTCGCTCCCCGATGGGGCTTATATAAGAGCATGTGAGCTTCCATTTGAAGACCCTCTTGCACTTCCAGTTTTGGATTCGGGGGCAGGGAATGTGGCTTTCATTGCGGCATCCAGATCTAACGATGTTTGTGCTATCTGTCAAATGAAATTCCAGGTTGCTGCTAAGTTGGAGGAAAACTCATCTTGATAGATGACTTGGTTGGAATAGAGACAGGGAGAGTCCCTTTAAAGGACGCCTTTAACTCCAGTTGTCTGGATTTATCCAAAGTAACAAGACTTTTGGCAAGATAAGCTGCTGGGGACAATTGTCACTGTCGGGAAGATGACTCATCTACAGACCCATGGGATGAACGACTCTTGGCGGCCACACTTCTGGCAGGAAGATTGCAGCATGGTTTGTCTTAAGTTTGGTAATTATTGTGGCATCTTTTGCTTAATAAAAAAAAGCATCTTCAGAACCTGCAAAGCTTTTACAAACTCGGTTCAAGTGAAGGAAGAAGGAGCAGCAGGTGAGGTGTGCACGTGTGAGTGTGCGGGTGTGATTGTGCACACGCATGCCTCAGCACTCGTGTGTGCATATGTGCATATGATGCCTTGTTCCTTTCTGTAGTAAAGGGGAAAACTGTCCAGACCTCTGAGGGAAAGGTACTAGACAATCTTCAGAACAGTGGAGAAAACGGACCCTGTGGTGGATGGTTGTGTAGTTGTGGGAGTGAATACCACATATTCTTTGGAGGGATCCTCCCAAGGTGTGAGAGTATCACTGTTAGTGGATCAACCCCCACAGATCCAGGGCCCCTAGTATTAAGTGTCAAAGAGGGGTGACTGAGTACAGATTCTTGCCCAGCACCACCCCTGATGCCACATGAATTAGGATCACAGGAGAAAAGGATTGAGTTGAGCCCTACCGGCAAAGAAGAGGCAAGCTCTGCATGAGCAACTGTCTAAGGACGGTTGTGTTCAGTGTGTGCACAGGTGAGAAAGGGTGACATCTCTGACTGCTTTTAGCATTCCAGAACTTCGGTTGCAGCTCACTGTCACACATGAGGGGGAAAGGAAACGCTCACTGGCTTGAGGATGATTGTAGTCCATGTAGTAAGACTTTCCTTCAGCACAGAAGAGCTTCCCAGCGGGGTGGGGGGTGGGGGGGAAGAGGACCTCCCGATGCTTCCAGAAGAGATGCCTACAGAACATGAGGAAGACCGACCTCTGTGCCTGGCCTGCAGCACGCCAAAAGTCTAATGTTCAGGTCACACACCTGGCTGGTCCCTGCATTCAATGACGGCATGGCTGTGACACTGGACCTGTGAGGTCATCTAAGGGTGTCCAGATGTGCAGTTTTGTAAAGTGTCACGGAGTTTTTACAGGGCACTCTTGTGCAAACAAGGAGCAGCGTTTGACGGAATTTTCCCCATCTACCTTAGGATTTAAACAGTCTTGCCCCGTGCCTGCTTGCTGCCACCAGGGCTCTCCCTATGCATCCTTCCTCCAAACACAAGTAGGAGTGAGGATTTCCCATGAGACCATTCGGCTTTGACTGTGGAGGAGGAAAACTGGTGTCTGTGGTGGTTTGAATGAGAATAGCCACCAGAGGCTTACATGTTTGAGTATTTGTTTCTTCAGCTGGTGGAACTGTTTGTGAAGGATGCGGAGGTGTGGCCTTGTTGGAGGAGGTGTGTCACTGGCAGTGGGCTCTAAGGTTTCAAAAGGCGCATGTCATTCCTAGTTAGCTCTTTCTGCCTCCTACTTGCAGATGAGAATGTGAGCTCTCAGCTGCTGCTCCAGCACCATGCTACCTCCTCCCATGCTCCCTGCCATGATGGTCATGGGCCTTCTGAAGTGGTGAGCCCCAAATCAAAGGTTTCCTTTTATAAGTTGCCTTGGTCATGGTGTTCTGTCACACGCCTAAGAAGTCACTAAGATGACGACCCTCAGTTGTCTCTCTGTGTCTGTCTCAGGCAAGGTTAGAAGTAGGGACAGAGTAAAGGACAGAGGTGTGAAGCTACCAAGAAAAGGGTAGTGACACACCTGCCTTTTCAGACAGAAAAATCAAGGTCCCTCTACACAGAAGAGAAGAGAGTGTCAGAAACGGACCCAAACGTGAGCGTCCTCTTCACAGAGAGACGACTTTCAGGTTCGCTGAGACTCAATGGAAATCAGATCTTGCACAAAAGCTGAGCTGTTTATACTTATGTAATTTCAGTTTGATCATACTTTAGAATACATTCTCATGGCCTAAGTTCAGGTCTTCTTATTGTGTAGCTCCTTTGTGAAATTAAAACATCAAGACTTTGGCAAAAATCCTAGTTTATTGTATAATTTTCCTTTTTAGTTTAAATTTTCTGTGCACGAGCATTTTGTTCACATATATTTCTATGTATGATGTGCATGTACCCGCAGAGGTTAGAGGAGAGAGTTGGAGCCCCTGAAATTGAAATCAGATGATTGAAATATCATGTGCATGCTGGGAACCGAACCCAGGCCCTCTGGAAGAGCAAGTGTTCCTAACCATTGAGCCATCGCTCCAGCACCACTTTCCTTCCTTCCTTTCCTTCCTTCCTTCCTTCCTTCCTTCCTTCCTTCCTTCCTTCCTTCCTTCCTTCCTTCCTTCTTTTTAAAAAGCACAGTATCAAAATCTATCCCTTTATTGTTTTAATTTTTACTATTATTTATTTTATTACATTTACTCAGTGTATGGGGTGGGTGAGTGTATGCATGCCTTGCCATGTGGAGGTCAGAGAACAACAATAACAACACACACACACACACACACAGACTCACTAAGTTGCCTAGGCAGGCCTTTAAATTTGTAGCCTTGTTGCTTTGGCTTCCTGAGTAGCTGGGACCACAGAGATACACTGCAGCAGCTGCTTTGTGTAACACTCTATTGCAAACACAAGCCACAGTACCACTCTTCCCCTACCACTCTTTTTCCTAGTTAGGAATTTCCCCTTTTGCCTGATTCCTTCCTTCTTTCCTTCCTTTCTCTCCTGCCCTCCCTCTCTTCTCTTCTGTGACGCTAAGCACAGTTTTGCACACTCCTCTATGGGGTTCTGTATGTTTGTGCACGCTATGTGCCACCCCATACCCCATGACATGGCAGGGAGGATGGAATTGTGCAGTCACCAGCTGCTGCCCGGCCTCCAGAGTTCCACATGACCCATTTCATAGCCCAGGGGGAGTCAAAACACTTAAGACGAACCGTTACGTATTAGGGATCTTCCATATCAATAACAGCAAAGAAAATTGCAGCTTTTTCCCAATTACACATCAGAGAGAGGGTTAACATCTAGAATATATATTATATAAATATATATAATATTATACATATATTCTAGAATGTATATTTAAAGAACTAAAAAACTGGACATCAAAAAAATGAAAACAAATAAAGATTGGCACAGAATTAAGTAGAGTCCTCAAAAGATGAAATACAAATGGCTGGGAAACACTTAAAGAAATGTCCAATATCCTTTGTCATCAGGGAAATTAAAACTAATTTGAGATTTCATCTACCCCAATCAGAATGGCCAAGATCAATAAACCAAAAGAATAAAAAAATTTAAAAAAAAATGGCTCATGCTGG